GTCAATTACACTCTGGTGGTGTTGACTCAAGCCTTTGTCAATTAATCTTTACTGAATAAATGCAAGTCTTGCTGACTGATTGAGATCACAGTCAAAACTGTTTACAGCAATTTGCGTGGAGTCTGTAAGCGGCCCAGATGCTCAGCTGGACTGGCAAAGCAGAATATCTGTGTGTCAGTGTACTTTATTCATCCATCATTGGGTCAGGGTCTGTAGGACAGACCCCCACACATTTCTGGGGAGCTATTCTGTATCTAGCTATTAGGCTGCTGAAGACACCAAGGTCTTGGGATGATGTTCAGATGACCAACACCTGGAATGGCTGCATGTTCTCTAAGGCTAACACATCTTCCTGGGCTTTGTCAGTGACTTGGAGTGTCACTACTACTCATAGGACAATGACTATTTGTTTAACCTATATAATCAGATAACAACTCTAAGCCTCAGCTTTCTTGTCTGTAAAATAAACTAACTAGCTAATTTCTAAAGTGTTAAGACCTTGCCACTATAGGAATTCTACATCCAAGAGATGTCTTGTTTTCTATTTCCTGAGGCACGTGAATTTTTTGTATCTAGTAGCTTTGCACCTTTCTTAATGTCTGATCATTAATTATTTAGACAAAGTATATATAGCCAAAAGAAAAGAAATAGAGAAAAAGGCCACATATTTTCAGTAATTCCTATAGTCACTTTCAAGACTCTCACATCAGTAAATGAGGAATAAAGGAGACTTTGAACTGCATAAACCCACAAATATAATAAGTTGCATTATCAAAAGTGTTTTCTTGATGATGTAAGAAGAACATTGCGAGAGAATGTAGAATCTGCAAGGTCCTACCTACCTCCTGGCCGTTCATGCTCTCCATCAGTGTGTAAAAGCATGGCAATGGGCATCCCTACATTCTTGGATCTTCCAGCCACAACCACATTTTTTCCAAACGTCTGAATTCCTTAAAATACAGAGTTAGGTTTAAATACAGAATTGATAACAAGAAGTAAATTAAACATTTGTACAGTCAACTGAAACATTCTTTTAAATATTTCTAATTGAATCTGAATTATTATGTGGCTTATCTATAATATGAGCACATTCATTATTTATAAATAATTCATTTTATGCTTCTTTGATTTGGCACTTCTCTGATTATGTCCTCATTGAAAAACACAGACATTCTTAAGTTGACGTTAAGTTACTATTAAACACTGAGATTCACATTAAGAGTTAAAAGAGTAGAGTCTTAACATATGTTAACCGCTAATTATAAAATAAGCAAAGTACAACAATGTCAAACTTAATTGGCAATCAAATTTTGAGCAACACTGGAACAAAACAGGTATTTTTCACAAAGCTCATGCATTTTACTCCATAGGAAAGAAGCATTAAACTTACAGACTTAGAAAGATTTAAAAAATAAAGCCTGTAGAACCTTCTACTTCTTTTCCACTAAGTTTCTTCACAAGTAAAGCAAAGAAGTTAGAACTAAGGATTTTCCAATACTAACACTGTAAGAGTATGATTCTAGGATCAGTTTTCTCTTGGAAGTTTTTATTTCTCAGAAAACAGATTAGAAAGGAGAAAATGCTGCCAAAAATAGAAGTAACAATGATGGAGGTAGGAAAATCATTAACATATAAGGCAATTTGGGTTAATTAACATAGAGGTAAACATCTGTATACACTGTAAGAGCATTACCTGATCCAGTACAGTACAAGAGTAAATGTTTAAAATGAAAACCCAAGTCAATAGAAATGATAACTATGTGATCAGCACATATTTTTAAAGGTACAGAAAAATATATTTTAGAAAAGTTTTCATCATAATGCATGAAGTTTATATTTTAAAGGTAGACATATACCACCACTATGTGGAAAATTCACTTCCTATAAGTTGCAACTGCAGTTACATATAGCCTGGCTAATGTTCTTCATTTTATTTTATTTTGGATTTCTTTTCTGTTTGTTTGTTTTGTTTTTGAGACAGAGTCTTGCTCTGTCGCCCAAGCTGGAGTGCAGTGGTGTGATCTCGGCTCACTGCAAGCTCCACCTCCCAGGTTCATGCCATTCTCCTTCCTCAGCCTCCCGAGTAGCTGGGACTACAGGTGCCCACCACCATGCCCAGCTAATTTTTTGTATTTTCAGTAGAGATGGGGTTTCACCCTATTAGCCAGGATTGGATTATGTTTTGACTTCTATAATTTTATATCTCTCTATAGACTGATGTTTTATGGCTTATGATTTTCTGCCACTCTACAGGAGTGAGGTGCTCCCATCAAGTCTCAGTGCACAAATGCTCAGCTCAGCACCTAGCATCCATGTCCTGCAGACCACAAGTTACCAACCTGTTCTTTTTATTATTTCCCAAACAGCACTGGCAGTGGCAGGTATGAGAGAATGCTGATCAAGGCACAATCTTCCAATATTGATAATATGAAATCCATCTACATCTTTTTCTGGGGCAATTCCATTGCATATCGTTCGCTCATCAACGTGGTCTGAAAAATAAATAAAATTTATCTAATTTTAAAATCGTTATTTATTTGGTAGTCTGAAAAATGAAATCTGAGAATCTAAAGCCACATCACTTACAATTTAGTTCCAAGAAAGGTGTAAAGTCACTATTATTATTACTATTTGCCACCAAAATAGTAAGCCAAAGTGCTCTTGACTGATAGCTGTAATGAACTGCAGCTGGAGTATATGCTATTCCAGAGTCAAAGTGGCTGGACCAGTGAAAGAAAAAAAATTGTGAATTAAAAAATACCAATAAGATCTGGTAATAGCCAGGTGTCATGTCTTTGTTTCAGTAAGTTTGTATATTTACAGGGTTTGAATCCACATTTCTCTGACACAAGACAGTTCTACTAATAACCTTCTATTAAATACTTTGACCTCTGGAGATTAAAAGGGGTTTATTAGTGTTAAGAATAGTCATAACATCACGAGTTCATAGCTTCCTCTTAAATGACATAACAAAAAAGTTAATATAAAACATGTGCACACACACACATCTTTTCTCTAAAGCATTGTCAGAGTAAAACAAAAAATATTACTACGATTTGCTATATGGAAGAAAAATAACACAACCTGAGTAATAAACTCATCAAATGAAATATGGGATGCCAGTCATCTCATTTTTTAAAAGTAAGTATAGAAATATAAAACAGCCTCCTATTACTCTATGCAGAGTAGTTTAACTTACCACTAACCTAACAATTAAGCCATGTGCCTAATATATTAAAAGTATATTTTCTATGTAAAAGTTTCTTTGGCCATTATATAATGCGATTTAGACATAATTCCTTAAAACATTATAAAAGTCCAAGTTCAAACTTTTCAGAAAGCTATGCCTTGGGCTTTATATATTTTGTATTCTAAAAGTGTGCTACTGCTACTTTACTATAAGTCAAGTCAATTAACCATAATTAATTAATTAATTTTAAAGGACAAAAGTCCTTTAAATATATAAAAGTATTCATTTGAATCTTATTCAAATAGAAACTGAGTCTTTGGAAAGTCTCTTCATTCAATAGTTTTTCACTTGTAATAACTGCATTCAGTCTATAATGTTTTAGCAGGGCCTCCATCTATTTTCTCTATAGCTAGAAGATCATCATATAGATTCTAGTCAAACTTTTAAAAGAATACATATTTAACTTATTACATGAGGGCAAAAATAGTGGTTCTTTTATAAAAAAATCTAGGTGATGATGATGATAAGTCATTTTTAAATCACCTATCATTCATGCAGAATCTTCATGACATGGATATTTTTTACAATGAAATGAAAAGTTGTATATATGAAAAGAAAAACAACCATATTTGAAGTATCTATTTTCAGCTAGGACTCAAATTAGTTTATTTCTAAGTTCAAAACTGGCAAATATATGCATGGGCTGTGCTACTGATTGAAAAGAACTCAACAAGGACTCTTTGTAGATTTTAAGAACCATCCTCCAAACAATATGCCTGAATTACACTGAATTTTGCCACCTACCATTGTTTGCGCTCCCATTCAGGGAAAATAACATTAAAGCTATAACAAATATTTCATTTCACACACCAGCTGAAATACTTGAGAAGAAGTGTAAGCATCTGAAAATCTGGAAGCCAGAATTAGAGACTAGTGGTACAGATCTGCTGTCCTCTTGTATATGCCAACTTCAACCCAGATCATAATTCTAGATCACCATTTTGGTTTGTCTTAAGTATTTAAGTATTAGTAGTTTAAAAGACAGATGAGTGGACATACAAAAGGTACAGTGGATTCATAAAACCTGAATCTAAAAGGAAAAGAGCTTCATATGAGTAGATGAAAAAAGTGAAGATCATAAAAGTCAAGAAAACCAATTCATTTATCATTTTTATGTAACTCTGTTATCTCAGCAGTATATTAAATCTAATATATATCTTTTTCCAGGAGAGATCTACCTATTATTATGTAGTATACAGTATATAGCAATAATCTGAACTACTCTAACATTTAAAAAGTGCTTTACAATGATTATATTAGTTTTATATCAATTTCCTTTTAATCTTCATAGTTACTGGGGATGAAAGTAAAAAAGATATGATCATGCCCATTTTAAAGACAAGCTCAAGCAGTTACAGTCAATCTCACATTACTACTAAGAATCCAGAATTTAAACCCATATCCTTTTAAGATCAGTTTTTCCTTTTGTATTATAGAGAAGTCATAATAAATATTAATCATTTTAAATACCATTCAAAAATTAAAATCACAGAGGCATCCCTCCCAACTCCTAATAAGACATTTGATAGCTCTAAAATATCCCAAGAAATGTATTGTTTCTCCTAGGGCTCCAAATATAACACTGTTCCTAGATGAATACTTGTCTAAACACATACAAAAAAGCATCAAACATTTTACATTTAGGATTACAGGTAATCCTACTTCCTTTTGTTATATGAGTAAGAGAAATAAATACATTTCCTGTTTGTGACTGACTGTTACTAAAAGTCTCCCAAAATCTCACCCTTGGGGCACATGACTTGAACAGAAAAAACAATCGCGAGACTCAATAGCATCAATTTTCTCACAACAGTTATACAACATGTTTGATTCACAGGATACATTGGTAAACGACACACCACTTAACATCTTACCCAAATGAATGATAAAACTGGTTTTATTCACTTTGTGTTTTTCCCCCTTCTATTTAAAGTTATGAAAAGTCATTAAATCATGATAGGAAAAACAGAACTCATCAAATCAAAATATGAACCACTGCAATAAAACAGCTTAGATATAATACCTTCAGGGACCTCACTGTAGATTTACTATGCTGAATGAATATACATTTTGTATGGGTATGTATTTATTTATTTATTTATTTATTTATTTATTTTATTTTATTTTTTTTTGAGACAGAGTCTCACTCTGTCGTCCAGACTGGAATATAGTGGTGTGATCTCAGGTCACTGCAACCTCTGCCTCCTGGGTTCAGTAGATTCTTCTGCCTCAGCCTCCCGAGTAGCTGGGACTATAGGCACGTGCCACCATGCCTGGCTAATTTTTGTATTTTTAGTAGAGACGGGGTTTCACCATATTGGCCAGGCTGGTCTCAAACTCCTGACCTTGTGATCCACCCACCTCGGCCTCCCAAAGTGCTGGGATTACAGGCATGAGCCACTGCACCTGGCCACTGAATACATATTTTCGTGATTTATTTATAATATGCTTAATTGCCTTTAGACAATGAACAGAAAAAAAAGGAACAAACAAATTACTGGCTTATTTTCCACCTATAGATTTTTACATTACTGTTTAAAAATACCACCTTTCATCTGTTGGATAAGTGCAAGCTCATCAGTATAGTATACATTGTGTCCTTTAGCTTATTCTTCCTATAGTCTCTTCTCTGTGTTCCATACCTTTACCAACCATCATCATCACATGCCCTGCACTCTAGTCACACCAAACCATGTCCTTTTCCCAAGCCCTTACCATTAACTTCTGCATTGTTATTGCTCATGATGATTTTTTTCACTAGTAATTCTCTCCTCTCAGTTTTTTTCATATCCTATTCATTCTTCAATGCATTGATCAATTGCTCCCTTTTGAAATGATCACAAATAGAAATAATATTTTTTTCCTGTTTTCCCATGGAATGGCTATAAAAAATACTTAGCACACTAGGTCAGTTAATGATATTAGTTGTTTAATTATCTCTATCATTTATGAATGTGAGCTTTTTAGGACACAGTCTGTCTTAAACTGATTCACTTATAACTACTCCATCTCAGTAGACGGTGTGAAAAAAAATATCTTGGGCCCCCAAAATCACTAAGCTAAAGGGAAAATTCAAGCTGGGAACTGCTCAGGGCAAATCTGCCTCCCATTCTATTCAAAGTCATCCCTCTGCTCACTGAGATAGATGCATGTTCTGGTTGCTTCTTTTGGAAAGGCTTATCAGAAACTCAAAAGAATACAACCATTTGTCTCTCACCTACCTGTGACCTGGAAGACTCCTCCCCCACTTCAAGTTGTCCCTGCCTTTCTGGATGGAGCCAATGTACTTCTTACATATGTTGATTGATGTCTCATGTCTCCCTAAAATGTATAAACCCAAGGTGTGGCCCAACTACCTTGGGCACATGTTGTCAGGACTCTGAGTCTGTGTCATGGATGCCTGTCTTCAACCTTGGCAAAATAAACTGAGACTTGTCTCAAATTTTCAAGGTTCACAATGGGAAACCCATCCTTCTATGCTACTTGCCAGGAAAACCTGGAGTCATCTTAAATATCCCTCTTTCTCTTACACCTAACAACCAAACCATTGGAAAATCTGTTGGCTTTCTTCATAATAATATATCTAGCACTTTATCAGTCTCACCATGTTCATGATACTACTCTACTTTGAGTGAACATTATTATTATTCCTGTCAATTCTTGAAACAGCTTCCTAATTAGTTTCCTTCTTCTATATGTGCAACCATACAATTTATTAACAAAACAGCAATAGAGTTATACCTTTGAAATGCATATTTGATCACACTGCTTTTCTCAAAACCCTGTAATGTTATTACCTTAACAATTGCAAACAAGGTTCTACATGATTTTTACTGCACCAAAACTATAACTATGTGTCTAATTCCATCACTGGTTACTCTCCTCTTCTCTCAGTCTGTGAGCATCAAGCTGTTAGTATACATCAAGCTGATGTTCCTTGAAAATATGAGGCATTTTGCCACCTTAGCTATAGCTTTCTATTTGCCTGGAAGGCTTTTCTAAAAAAGAACTGTCACATGGGCTAAATCCCTCCCTTCTTTCAAATGTTTTCTTAAATACCACATTCTCACTGTTAAAAGAAACACTTCAGCCAAATTAAATTTAAAGAGGTTTAATTGAGCAATGAACAATTAATGAATTGGGCAGTCCCCAGAATCACAGCAGATTCAGAGAGACTCCAGCATAGCCACGTGGTAGAAGAAGATTTATATACAAAAAAGGGACATGATACACAGAAATCAG